CAAGCCAAATCAGACTATAGATACTGGAATCCAGGGTCCATAGTCGAGGTCTTTAAGGTGTTTCACGATGAATATTGAAATAACTAAGGCTTCTACAGGATGCTCTAGTTTCGGATGTCAACAAGTATTGGAGTCCCAGATTTTACATTGCATGCCAAGAAGCACCGTGTTAGCATCCTGGCCCTGCAGGGAATCAAGAACAGGATCCCTAAGAACCCAGTTGTATCCAAAATGGATTGCTGGGAGTTTGGGTATAATACACAGTATAAATGTATACTGTATAGGTGTATATTTCATTTTATATAATATACATATATGTACTTACACGTATGTAACTGCATGCATACATACATGTATTTACCCAAACTAAAAGCACGGTTTAAATGCTGCGCTTTAACGAGAAAACGCGCCTTCACAGCGGGCAATACATAGATATTGACAGACACATATAAAGCGGGCTACTGGGTTATCGGCAAGACAAGGTTTAGGTTGGGAAACAGTAGCCCGGTAGATGCGTAACTGGGCGCTTTGGGACTCTCAGCAGTCAGCTCTAGAGGTACTGTCGTGAGCCTCTACAGTCTACAGCTTGCGTGAGGCCATGCTCTGAACTGGAAATTAACGCGTATTATGCCCTTCTGAGCCTTGAACCAGATCGTGTACCCTGAACCGGAAAAGGATCAACGAAGGACCATGCATTCGCGAGAGCAAAACGCTTCCTCCCGCAATGCTTCCGCCGCGTGATGGAGCGGCGTGCGCCTCCCTTGGGAATGGAGAGGTTACAGAGGGCCGGGGGTTGGGCGGTTCAGGGTTTGCAGGGTTTACTGTCGTAAATTGGGCTGTTTGCAATTGGGGTAAAGGGGTCTTAGGGTTTGGATTTAGAGGGTTGCGTGCTCAAGGCGTGTATTCCGGGTTTAAAATTTTGGGCAGTGGGTATCTGAGTTGTGTTATTGCAGCAGAGAAAGATGTAGACTGCGGGTTCCATACTGGGTCCATAGACATATATGCACATGCCAACACAGTGACAAAAAGTCACAGAGAGAGTGAAAGAGATAGCGCAAACACGAGATATTGCGTGCTGTATGTCGGTACAGTAGTTTTAGGCCCATAATTTGAATCCATCTACGCAAAGGAGTTGAGAAGCTGCTAGGCCAGCATGAGATGCACCAAAGGGCCACATCGTGATTATTCATTGCCTCCTTGTTGACATCTAGGAATTTCTTCTGCCAGGGTCCAGCTTTCTCTACACCGACTGCACTTTGAAGCAAGACCCTTCGGCATGGGAGGAGCTTCGATTTGTTCATGACTGCCGGGAACGGAGGAAGCGACCGACAGCTATCTGTCCGAGCTGCTTGCATCGGCGAAGTTGACACAGCTGCCGGCCTGAAAGCAACGAGATGTTGAAGCGTCACGAGAACGGCGGCCCTGTCAAGGCCCTTCAGAGGTGACAAGTCCTGCTGTGCGTCTTGTTGCACTGTTACATCTACGTAGATATTCTGAGGCGTCTTACAACTCCAATACTTCTTGCGCTTCGACCCTCAGGAACATTGGACAGTGGGCTGATCACCAACATAGACAAGACAAGTGGGTTCGGCTGCAGATCCTGCTTCAGATATCAGGACATCTGTGTCAAGCAAAGTGATGCCAACACGACCCAAGCGGCGGGTCACTGTGGTTGCCCCGGCTGCGACCGAACACTGCCCAAACAAATTCGAGAAACGTCATAGATTGTACCGCGCAGCCCTAAACTCTAAACCCGAAACACGCCCTATGCTGTCAACTTACTCAACACGGTGGAAATCCTTGCTCAGGGAAGGGGGTCGCCTACATTTCGGCTGATGGATTCAAAAAGCCTGCGCACATAAGAGACGGTTCACGGCTCAGGAATGGGAGAGAGACTCAACACAATGAAGCACTTGGGCTCCAAAACCTCCGCGGAACCTCCAGCAGCAAGCCTGCAACCCAAAATTCTCAAACCAGAAGCTCTAAAACCACAAGACCCAAGAACTCGAATCCCAGAACTCCAAGTCGTGGAACCCTTGCAGCCACAAGCCCTTGAAAGGCCAAAACTCCTCAGCCCACGGGCACCCCTTGGCCCCAAACCTCTGAAGCTTATGACCACCAATGCCCTTAACTTTAAGCCTTATAAACCCTATGAGCCTCTAAAGCCTACAGCTCAAGGTCCCAAGATAGTTGGTTACATGAACGTGCGCCCGACTAGAGAACGAGTGTCCCGAAAGGTAGCCAGCACTCTCAACCATCCATCGCGCCATTCATCCATTCATCCCCGCGCCCATCCAGGTGCGTGTCCGTCCATCCACCCATTCATCCCTCCTTCAATTGACTTACCTATCCATCCACCCCACCCAGCAAAATTATCCATCAACCCATGCACTCATCCATCCACCCGTCCATCCATCGGCCCATCCAACCCGTCCATCCATCCATCCAGCCATCGCTCCAAGCATCCGGACCACGGCCAACATGCTTCCCCCAATGTACTGGAAGGATCTAGAAATTCCAAGGAACGGACACGCCGGAACCACCGAGACGGTTGGCCATTCCAAGCAATGTCTTGGAATGTGCAGTGAATCACGCTTGGCATGCCACAACACGCGCAGTGCCACTTTAGGGGGCGCATTGGCGGTCTCAAAATACTAAATTTTGATTCAGAGATAATAGCCGCATCCTCACTGAAACCCTAATACCACCTAACATCATGCCATCCATCAAACTCACTGCAACGCATCCAGCATCATGCCATCAGCTCAACACCAATCTATCATGTGGAAAGCATTCGGGAAAAAGGCTGCTCTGCTTGTTAAGGCACTGAGGTCTATTGAGCCGCAAACCCCAGAATAACCCTCAACACGAAACCCTTATAGAAACCGTCTATAGGGAGACTTTATGAGCCCATCATATTCTAGACCCTCAGCTGGGTTCTTGCTAAGGATTTTTGTTTAAGTTACCGCTGTAGGGGTCTATCGAAGATAACATCGCTGCCTTGTTATGGCAAGCTAAAAACCAATTTAAGAAGAACCCCCCCCCTAAACCCTACGCCTCGAAAGACCCTAATATTATGGTATCCTATCATGGTGCGTAAAAGCTAAGAACCTAAACCCTAAACCCTAAAGCCAAGAACCCAGGCAAAGGCCTCAAGCAGCCGACTTAGCACTTCCTTCGAGGGCCGTTGCTTTGCTTGTGGCAGCTCAGGGGCTCTACGGGTTACGACCCTTAAACTCCTCAGGTACTTCAGGGCCAATGTATGGATGTGTATTACATATATGTATGTATGTGTATGTAGACTGTATACATGTATTTATATATATATATATATATATGTATGCATGTATGTATGAATACCAGTATATGCACAATAACAAACATGTATGTGTGTGGATATGTCTTAGAAAGGTACATGGACCGTTCGCATCTGTGGGCAACAACCCCCGAGTCAAGCAGGTTTCGGGCACAGGCGAGCTATGCAGTCTTTGCGGAAAATGCTAGTGGTAATTCACGCCATGGCCCGCCCGATGCTACCTAAACTCTAGTTGCCCGAGTCTACAAGTTTACCCCCGATTTAAAGCCTCCTGACAAGCCCTTCGAACTTGCCGTGCAGAGCAAGGGTCGCAGTGGCCACGGCGGGCCGCGTAGTGAAGTGGTTGCTGCTGAAGCCGATCCACCTGTCTGGAAAGTCCTTTGTGGTTGAGGGTTTGGGATGGAGGCTGTTGGGGGTTGGGGCAAGCAGGCACTGGCTTACACAACTATGCTGCTGTAGACTATGCTGCGTCACAAACCCAACCCCCACAACTTCTGGGAGCAAGACTCGAGCCTGAATCCTGCCGACAACCCCCCTTCCTCAAACAACCGAACCCTATGAATCCACCTACTTTATCATCGTACACTTTCATAGCGACTCGCCCATAATCACGATTTCTGAACCCAATACTCATCTACTTGCTGACAGATGTGCATTCAGTAAACCTCCTGACCCTTGCCTTAGACTTCCCTATAGCATTCTTCTCGTAGTAGTGACCCTAAAGCTCGTCCCTCAGAAAGCCCAAATGCCAAAGGGTCCAGCTGCAGAATCCTTCACACCCTGAATATTAATCAAATGAAGCACTGCTACTGTTGATGTAAACCTTGCATGACCTTAAAAGCCTGAACTATGGGAATTAAGGTATACTGTCCTTATGGATTTATATCATCCGTAGCACGCAAAACATCTAGAAGAAGCACCTAAAATCCTGCAGAAGCCTTGTTCTCAGGTACTTTGGATCCTAAACCCTAAACCCTAAACCCCTAAACCCCTAAACCCCTAAACCCCTAAACCCTAAACCCTAAACCCTGAACCCAAGCAAGCCCGGCCTCCTCTACGGAGGCCCGCGCTTCCAGCAGCGCGGCGATGGCCGCGGCGTGCCCCCCAAAAGCAGCCTCTCAGATTAGGGCGGTTGAGGGTTTCGGGCTGGGGTTTCGGATTTAGGGTTTTAGGGTTTAGGGCTGGGGGTTTGCAGTGTAATTAGGAGACACACGCATCTTAAAACCCAGTTTCAAAGGAGACTCCTGAACCTTCACCTAAAGCCCGAAACCCTGAGTTCCCCAATTTCAACCCGGAAGTCCAAACCCGGGTCAAAAGAAGCCCAAGGCACTGAATTCAATACTAAATCCAAACAATTAAACTCAGCCCTCGTAAGCCCAAACCCTAAACTCAAATCCAAGACCCCACACCGAAAACCCCAAAACCCTAAACCCCACACCCTATAGACGTTGCTAAGCTACACCCTAAATCCCAAATCCGCGACGCCAAGGTCATTTTCGAAACTCTAAACCCGAAATCCTAAGCGCTAAGCCCCCCTTTCTTGAGCAGGGACTGCAATGCTCTACGCCCTGAATCCTAAACCCTAAACCCTAAACCCTAAACCCTAAACCCTAAACCCTAAACCCCTAAACCCCTAAACCCTAAACCCTAAACCCCAGCCCCTTTTGCCCTAAACCCCCTCGGCCTGGTGCAACGGCGTGGTGCTGTCGACCTGCGGCCTGGAAGGCCCGGTGACCTCTTCGCAGCCGGCGCCGAAGATGGGGCTCCGAGTTGAGGGTTTTTAAGGATTTAGGGCAGTTTAGGTATAAGTTTAGGGTTTATAGAGATGAAGTTTAGGGTTTAGGGGTTTGGGGTTTGGGGTTTCTGGGGCTTAGGGATAAGGGCCGCAAAAATAGGGCCGTGGGGCACCCCGCCCCATGGTATGCTCCTCCCCACCTCCACAGCAGCCAAGCCTCCTCGCAACTGTCGACGTTCTTTTGGAACTCTCGCGCAAGTCCCGCCCCCGCCCGTTCCCCACACAGATGACAGTGATGGCGATGATGCTTCGGACAACGACGATGATTTGCTTCTTGCATGCTGGTATTCCGACTGTGACCGTTGGTATTTAGCACCACTGCTCTTATGCCCTTAGGTACCGCATGTTCTTTGCTTTCATTTGTTTGAAAAGTTTGTTTGGCTTCATCTTCTTTCGTAGATTTTCGTCGTTGGTATCGACCTTTGTCATTCTATGCTCTGTTTCGGTTGGGTGCGCTGAAAGTCAGCCCGAGGATGTGCTTGAATGGTTTTCATTCAAGAGTTTAAGCAAGGGACCGAAGGAGTGTGTGGACGGGGAAGGAGTGTATGGACGGGGATCATGTTCACTATCTTCGAGGGAGGGACAGGGGGAAACCCACAAGGAACTACAGGGGGAGGGGAGGGGGGAGGATAGCATGGGGTATACTGAATTCCTAGGCGAACACTGGCGGTCAGGACTTAGAGTATCTTACAGTCATGTCATGTAAATTCAGCAATGGCATAACACGTGCATGTATGCGCCGTAACCATTTCCGTTTCAAATGGTTTCAAGACACTAGCTCTCTCTGCGTGTAGCAAACCCAACTGTGGTGTCCGCACGCAAGGGCAAGCCTTTAGATCCTCAGGGATCGTACCTGCACCCATATCTTTCCGCTGAAGGGGGGATATTTAGTTAGGTATCAGCCCCCGCCCTCGTGCCTCAAGCGTTTTATCCCTGACCCCCACCCTACATTTTCCAACATATTTTTCAAAATCCTCAATTTTTGACATCCTCGTCTTCCCCGATTTCCCTTAAAAAAGCATCTACCATATACCATAAAATCCCTAATTCCTGACCTCCCTGCCTCAACCGATTTCCCTATATAATCCTCCTAAAAGTCCTTGTTAAAATTCCTTGTAACAAATTCTGAATGAGAGTGATAGAATGTATCTTAACAAATATTATTGTGAAGATAAATTCTAAGAACATCCTATTTATCAGCTGTGCATGTAATTCCAATAGTTTAACATCCTTTCTGTTATATTAAAATCTATGTGTTCCAATTTTTCTTTACTACAAACATATCTGCCTCCTTGCTTTCTAAATTCAAATGTATAATCTTTAACCATCATCTTACGGCGATATTCATACATATCAATATCTTTTACATCATTTTTATCATAGAATTTTAACATAGCATATTTAATTGGTATATGAGTTTTTGTTTGTATTTGTTTTAGCTCTCGTCCGTGGCTCCCTGCTTCTATGTTTAATCTGTTATAAAGTGTATAAACATTTTCTTCTTCAGAATTATTATTATTATCATTTTTACTTAAGAACTCATTAATAATTTCTTCCTGTTCCTCATGACTAAATGCCATACTATCTAATATATATACATAATATTTCTTTAAATGCTTTTCTAAAGATTTTTATTTGAATATTTACATAATTATTTTAACTTTTCTTTACTATCAATGTGTCTTCATCCTTCACGATTTCGTAATATTCTAAGGTGCTCGGCTCGGGTTCTTTAATTTCTCCGTTGTTTAGTTTGTTTAAATATGTCTTTCGTTTGTTTAAATAGGTCGTGTCTTTATTCTCAGCAGGTTTGTTTGAAAAAGAATTCTGATTATATTTGTTGTTGAGTGTATTTAGTAATTTGGTGTCTAAGTTTTGTATTGTATTGGTCAAATCTCTCAGTGCTGTTTCTAAACCTTCGGACATATATAACAAACTATATATTTTTAAAACTTTAGTTTTAAAACTTTTCCTTATTACTTGCCGCGCAGTTGCAACTCTTGCAATATGCTACACAGTTTCGATAGTGTGGCAGTCGTCATTATTTCTTCGTTGTGCCGTCAAGTTTGTATGTATGTTTCCCTTTATCATTCTTAAATTAAACTCTATCCCACATTTTACGCAACAACCGTTTAACCTCTCCATAAGCCAGTCAGCCGTTATAAAATGTTTGTGATCCACCTTTCTTTTTCCCGAGTGGTCTTGTTCCTTGTATCCCTTGACCTTCCGACACATATAGTTATACACGCAGTTTTTATTGAACACATCCTCTTTCACATCCGAACTATACTTATAGAAATACACTTTATTTAAATCAGTGCTTCTCGTGATCGCCGTGTATAACCATTCCTTACTTACTAACCAGTGGTTATAATCAAATATCGTCATTGCATCGTCTATGCTACTTCCCTCAACACTGTGGCAAGTATAACAGTATGCAAATATAAAGTGCTTCCTTATAATACCTATCGGGACTTCATAAGATTTCTTTTCAACAACATTACATAAGACCACAGTACCGGGATTTATGTTTTGGATGACATACCTAAAATTCACATTAAACTTATACCTCGTTGTTTTCAGATACTCTCTGCATATCATCACCTCTCCTACCTCATATTCTGCTGTTCTGTTTTCCGTTTTTCTTATTTCTCTTGATACTTCCCTACAGGTGTCGTTAAGATAGGCTATGTTGTTTTTACTCGTGCTTATAACCTTGGTATATTTAAAGTATCGTTCTATTAGCTCCTTGGGTTTCACAGTTTATTAAAAATGTCGTCATATATGTTGCTTAATTTCTCCTTATCCTCCTTGGTCTTTAATCTCTTGCATTCCCTTAGATAGATGCTATATTTAAATATCTGATTTATGCACGAGTTCATATAGATCTCGTGGTCTTGTGTGTTGGTCAGCTCATTTACGGGTTTCAGTTGCTTACCGTCGCCAGTTCCTATAATTATCAGTGTGGGGTTCTTTTCCACGAATTCCCTAATCCTGTTTAACACCCCTAAACCATCAAAATAAATTTCATCAAATATGACAGCATCGTATCCGCTATAGTCCACCGCCTCAAGGCGCTGGAGGGCTTTGCCGTCCACTGGTTCTAACTTCTCCTCGCCTATGGATATGCCGAAGAACTTATTAACCGTGATCGCTTCCCTGCCGTATTTTTGAACCAGTTTATTAGTGGGACAAACAAACAGAACCCTCATACCCATCTCACCCATTCTTTCACATATATACGACTTGCCTGACCCCGCATACTTTGCCCTGATCATCACCTGTTTAGCTTGTGTTTTTTTTCCTATGATGTCATGCATATCATACTCATCCTCTATTTTTAATTCTATGTTTTCGGGCGTTGTTATTTCTTTCGCTTCTATAGGCTGTTGGTTATATAAGGCGGTCGGTAATATTACTCCGTCTTCTTTGCTTATTCTCCAGTTTCCTATTCCTCCCTTGTCTGTTTTCAGTATCTGCCTTGCTTGTTCTTCGTCTTCTTGGCTTATGGTGAAGGCATCGGTTTTCACACTATATACCTTTATCCCTTTTCCGATCAGCTTGTGATAGTCTTGATACATTTTAAAGTTATGGCTTTGTAGTAATAGCTCCTTTATATAAATAAAACCGTTTTTCAACTTCGCTTTGTCCGACATGTTCGTTATGTAATAACTCTCCTCTTCCTCCTCTTCGGCATCATCCGTTAATTCGTATTCTGTAAGCTTGTGTATTTTACCGCCGTGCGTAGCTTTAAAATCACAGGCTTCGGTGAGGTTTTTGAATACAACGCTTTTCTGATCGGTGCTCCCCGTCCTCTCTAACAAGCCTATATTAACATTGGCTATAAGCTTCTTTATCAGCTTGTCTAAATGGTCGTCGCTACTGATATGTTTGTCCCACAGCTCCCCTATGAGCTCCTTATAATTCACTCTGTGAGTGAAAGAGGGCACTTTATAATACAAAATGTTTATGCCTGTCGTGTTAAGTTGCTTAGGTTACTTTCCATAAACAAGGTTATACCTCTTGTTGAACATAATTTTAGTGTTCCCCCTTGCCATTATATAATATAATGTGTAATCTGACATCTCCCTGTAATCCGCTTCCTTATAAGTTTTCCATTTGTCAAATTGATTAAAGACCGGCACTTCGGCAATATCTATTAAACTCCCAGTGAATGCCTTGGATATGTCGGCTTCCACTATGTTTTTTGGGATGTCCTCATCCCTATAAAATACTCCTGTCGCCACTATGGTTTTCGTTTCTTCGTATATTTCAAAATCCTCCTTATTGTAATAGGACTTGTGTAATGGATTGAACAAGCCCTTATTAAAAGCGAACATCGCCCTGTTCATATTGTTGTATGTCTCTTCGTCATCTACCGTTATGTTCCCGTCTGCCGCGTCTCTTATTAAGTTTTGCGATTTTATTATAAATCTGGTCTTGTTAAAACGAGCTTTTATTTGCGAGACTATCCCAGCCTGTAATGTGATCGATGGCTCGTATCCTGCCCTGACCATCTCAACGAAAATTTCGGTTAAGTTGTTTCTTTCGGGGATCATATACTTAGTTATTACCTCTTTTTTCTTCGGATTTAAGGGCTCAACATATTTGAGTAAGTCGTCAGCCGACCCGAACATCTTATATTCGGGGGGTTCTTCTTTTTCGTTGAGGTAGTAATCGGTAGTCGCTTTTACCAGCCCCCTTGTCTTCTCTCGTCCTCCTGTTTGCTCCAAGCTTTTTATATCTTCGTTGAAAGTGTAAATATGGCTGTTCTTAACTAATGCGAAAAAGGTTTTAACATTATACTTAGATCTTTCGGGATCGTGTCTATAAATGAGATTTACAAACTGATCGTATATTCTGGCTGGTTTGTTGAACTCCCTGAAGACCTTGTCCATATCCGATATACTGGCGCCTTTGCTGTAAAAATCCTCCCGTCC